GGAAGGATTGCCAGGACGGGACGGGACGGGAGGGGACGGGAGGGGACGGGAGGGGACGGGAGGGGACGGGAGGGGACGGGAGGGGACGGGACGGGACGGGACGGGAGGGGACGGGACGGGAGGGGACGGGAGGGGACGGGAGGGGACGGGACGGGAGGGGACGGGAGGGGACGGGAGGGGACGGGACGGGACGGGACGGGACGGGACGGGACGGGAGGGGACGGGACGGGACGGGAGGGGACGGGAGGGGACGGGAGGGGACGGGAGGGGACGGGAGGGGACGGGACGGGAGGGGACGGGAGGGGACGGGAGGGGACGGGAGGGGACGGGAGGGGACGGGACGGGACGGGACGGGACGGGAGGGGACGGGAGGGGACGGGATACTTCCTGGACGACCGCAGAGCGCCAGGAGCACATGGACGCACGTGAAAGGCACGGCTACAGTAGAGGCGATGGAAAGGCACATGCTTGTTCTATTCGGCATGCTAGTGCAATACCAGAGCAGCAGTCAAGCTATTATACGAGGTCAGGCAGCGGTTTTCCGGTGTCACAATGCATGAGCACTGTTGCGATGCGGTCGCGGCGGCCCCGGGAATGAAGAGAACTGCCACCAATGTGCGGTCAGCAGTGTACGACGAGGACTGTACGACGGGCACTGTACGACTAGCACTGTACGACGATGTGATGGTGACACTTAGTGTGGTAGGTGGCGGGTGGAGGCTTGCGTGGACTATCGTCGCTGTCGCTTATTCCAGCCACTCTTTCACCGTCACAATCCCTGTCATCTCCCCTCCGCAACACGCCAACGACATGCCGACGTGACCAAGACTGGCACACGCCAAAGGTGACATCCAGAGCGCACCAGAGGAATCGGAGACCGACGACACACTCACCGCTCCCGTGCCGAGGACGTCAAACAGCTGAATGGGGTCCTCAGACGACGCCCTCGCCGCATTGAGACACCGNCGCGCATCCTCAATTTGTGCTGCGTGCACCCAGGGAGGCAACGCGTGTTCGCAGGAGCAGCCCGCGGCAGACAGGGCAGACGGGCGGGGCACGGTATGAGGGCCCGAGGTAGAGGTCAGCGTTGCGAGAGAGTCGAGACGTGGACTGGCTGTATCTTGCATGGCAGGAGAGGAAGCACATGCGAATACGCATACATTGCTTGTAATGTGG